TGAACAAGGAGGCTAAAAATGACCATATAAATAGGAAAGGAGATGTAACTATGAATGTCTGTGCCATTGTCGACATGGATGGGCGCTTCATATATGTCGGTGTGGGGATGGCGGGTTCAGTGCAGAACATGTCGGTTCTCAAATAATGTTGGGAGGAACCAAACTTCCCTCATCCACCAACCGGTGAGTGAGTACTGTCAATGAATCATGTGTTACATTATTTCTATAGCTTGTGCAGTCCATAAAACCTAATTGTGCAATTGGTTCACGTGTTGCAGGCCGCTACCATCTGATGGATGTTGGTTACGCACTGGAGTCAGGATACATGGGTCCTTTCAGAAATACAAGGTACCATCTGGGTGATTTTAGGGGTGTACCTGTAGAGACGGTCTCGATAGGAGAAATTTAATTTGACTCATTCTAGGCTATGTAATGTTGTAGAACAGACATTTGGGGTTCTAAAAAACCAGTGGCAGATTCTTGATGGGGTACCGTACTGCCATAGGACCAAGCAAAAGATGATTATACTTTCTTGCTTTGCACTCCACAATTACTTATTCATTAGGGAGCATGGATTAGGATCCGCAACCTACCCACCGTCTCCCTAGGTTCAGCTCAATGCTAGTAACAGTATGTCTATGGTTAGGGAGTTCATATCTTTGGGACTGTGGGGACAATGATTGTGGAGAGGTGATGTACCCATTGATGGTTGGGTAAGTGGCTTTTGCATGGGAACTGCCTTCATGCTCATTCTTATGTGCATAGAAAAGGGTACATATTTTGTACAGATGCCACTTAGGTCATTTGGTACTAGAGGAGATTGGGTCTAAGGGGAGCAGCCGATGCCATAAAGGAGAGGGTTGAAGTTGGTATGTGCATTTTCACCATTTGGGCTTCATCTTCTCACTGTGTGAAGTACCTTAAAGGGGGTACAACTTGTGTATTGTTGTTCCACGTAAGCACCCTATTAGATGTAGATGACTGTTGTGATTTGAAAACAATTGTTTATGACCTACTATAATGGGCAAATGCGTAGGAGAAATCTAATTTTGTGACACTTCTTCTACCGATTAATTAAGTGGCTTCTAGGGGCTGCAAGTTTTGTAAATGTGCCCACCACTAATTCTCTGCCATGGAGGTAAGAGCTATAGTTGTTTCACATGTATGGTGGAACTGCTACTAGTTTTGTAAAGGCTCCACTAATCCCCAAGTACTAGTGTTATGGACGAAACAACTGCAATTTGAGATGCCTTGTAAGCACGAGGTGGTTGTAATGCACTGTTGTAATGGGTTCTTAGGAGTTGGAATGACTTGTTAGTAAGAACTGTTGTAATGGGTTCTTAGGACAACTGTTGTTTTGTATGAAATGGAAACCTTGTAATGTTGGGATCAGCATATGTCTGATTGGCGCCACTTTTGAATGGATGCTGGTGTGTTGGCACCAATGAACTGTTGTACTGTAGTGTTGTTATGGGTCCTTAGGAATGCCAATGCACTATTGTAATGATTGGTAATTGCTTGAAGAGATAGCTGTAGCATGTACTGCGGTGGTAATGAACTGTTATTTGTATGGCCACCAGTGGATTGAAGTGGCAATGGCATGTCTTGTTGTTTTTATGCCATAATTTGAATTGTTTTAGTTACAACACTTTCAAATTTGAATGTCATTCAATGCTTAGTTTGGGCCAGCTGCTTGGTCTGCTAAAGCTGGCTGATTGCCCCCTGTTGGCTGATCAGCAGTGCTACCAGCCTAGCCAGTAACAATACCAGCCGAACAGGCCCTTTAACTAACGGCGACATGGCAATTTCTTCTCGCGAGACCAAACAGGAGGGAAGAAGAAGAAGTAAGGGATGCGCATGCGCATCTGGCCCGCGGCCCACGGCCATGGCCGAATTTTTTATTTTTTGGCCCTTTTTTTTGAAAAATATTCACAAATAGACCCATAGTGGTTTTATTTTTGTTGATGGACCCTGACCTCGGTGCCATGGCTTTTGGCGTCGAGAAAACACGTCTCGACGCCATGGCCAATGGCGCCGAGGTCTTGGCGAGGCGTCGGACGTGGCGGTGACCTGGCGCCGACATGGACAAGGCCTCGGCGCCATAGATCTTGGCGCCAAGCTCGGCGCCGTAGATCTTGGCGCTGAGCTATTACCCTATAACTCTTGGCATTTGAAATGAAATAAGTATAATTGTTCCGAGGATCATGTAACAACGCTATTGCAGTTCAGCTAGTTAGGACGCGTGCGACTTAGCTCAAAGGCCTGGGTTCGAACCCCAGCGCTAAATCTTTTTTTGCTACATTTTTGTTAAGACTCATACTGTATGTTTGATGCTTTTTTTTACCTGCAATGACACTGAATAGTTGCCTCCAGATATGGGTTTATCTGTGTTTTATTGATACATAGTAAACTTAGGTTTACTTTTTTTGCTTACGTCTCTTTTGTAATTCTGACTTTCATATTCTTGTGAACCATAATGACGTGTATAAGGATCTATTTCAGCTCACTTATGCCCCTTAAATATTATGTTAATCATTGTTACAAGTCAGCACACAACGGGGAAAAAAGTGTTGCCCTATGAGCATTCTTGATTGTATGCAAGACATAGCCCCTTTCTTTTTTAAGATCTGACAAAGTCCGTTGTCTTCAGCATTAAGCTTCTGGTTTGCTCCTTTGATTAGTCGATTCCATCTGTATCCTTGTATTGTTTCAAACATTTCCTAAATCTAATGCCCTGCTCTTGCACTTCCCATCTGCCTGCAATAGCTACATAGCATTTAACATTTCTAGCTTTCATCAAGGGTCAAATATTGTGCAGTTAGTAGGTAATATTGTTCAAGTATGATATATTGTGTATCCCTCGCTATTCTTGCATAAACTGTTTCTGAAAAAAGCAATGCATGTATTTCTTGTAGGGACATTTTGAAAGGATAGACATTAGTACTCAATACATTTTCCAAAAATGGCAAAAAGTTTGAGAGATATGCAAAGAAAAAAGGAATCTTTATCACCTGTTAAAAAATTGCTTTCACCCCTTCATACTTTTTATTAATTTTCTAATGTAATCTGGTGAGTCTTCATCTACATAATTTGTTTAGAAATCCCTCTGGCAGTACCAGCTTTGTCAATAGAGGGAGTTGTTCTCATAAGGGGTCACAAGTCACAATTGACAACCTACTTCAAACTTTTAATGCACACCACATGTATAGCTAAATGAAATTTGTCTGCTCGTGTAAAATGAACATGTGATCAACTTAGAAAGACATGCTCCTGACGAAAAATAATTTAATTTCAGGCTGCCTTGAATTCTACAGCCATCTCATTTTCTTAACAGAATGATCAAAACCTCATTGCATTTGTTAGATTACAACTCATAAGAAAGAAGGGGCATCCACATCTATATACAGGCTGACACACCGGTCTTTCTATTTACATTGCTATGTTTTTACCATTGTCTTTATAGCTGAAGAAACAGCAAAGAAACAAATTCAGTTCCCCCGCTTTATCTATTTGTACTAATTCTTATTTGCACGGGAAGAACTTATAAACTCACAGGCACATTATATTACATAAATTCACTTACCTTATATCCATTAGAGGCATCCAACCTTTTTTTTCTTTGCCATCCGTGCAGTTCTATTGGAGTCTGAGGAGATCCAAGTGTTTTGACAAAAGGGATCTAGAGTCTACACTGCTGAATTTTCACGTTCTCGATGCTTTTTCATTTAGTAACACCACAATACTAATACATTATATACATATTATTAGGTAACTGCCTATTCAAATTTGGAAGCAAGCAGCGTCTTGTATATCCATCTTATTCAAATTTTGCAACTATAGTGTGGCACTGCACAAAACAACATGGTAGTAAATAATAAATGGATTTATTTCGGCATGCTCCACATATCCTTGTCATCCTCAAAGCACAGTTAAGATCAGGAAGCTGTAAATTGCCAGAGTCTCAAACTCCTCTCTCGAAGGTATGATGCACTCCTTATGGTATTCATATTGTCAGGTAATTGAATACACGGTTATCTTCAGTTAGCATCATAGGATGTGAGAAATCATTTTTATTTGTCCCTTCACAGCTAACTCGAGAAAGTTATCTCAAAGGAGTTGATGCAGGAGGTTCAAATGCATATTCGTTATGCTGTACCATTTATGTTTACAAGCCTAGAAAGTCCCTGAAGTATAGCCGCATCTTAGGACCTGCTTGGATGGGGGTATTGGCTAAGATTAACCTTTTTTGTTCAAGCACTAAAATGGCCTCAAGATGTATTTGCATAGAGTTGGCTTTACAACTTGAGAATAGTATCAGATCAAAGACAACAACTAAACCTAGTTAAGTAAAAAAGAGATCGAATGATACTGCTCAACAAAAGGAGCCAATCATAGGCAATATGAACATATGGAATAAATCAAAACTAAACCACATGTTCATGAAGGCATGAATACCAACATAATTAACTACTTGGTTCTCACTTCCCACTACAAAAACTCAAGGATAACACAAAAACCATACTACTCAGTTGAAATAGTATTACTGATAATAATGCTTGAGAAACAATACATGAAGCCATGCTCAATCAGCCCATAACAAAAAAATTGCTTTATCCCCTGGCCAAAAGTACTACAATCACAATAGCTTAAAACCGAATCATGCCACAGATGCCCCCCAGTTCTGGTGTGAAATCAAATTCAAATCCACCTATAGCTCACCCTTATGATCTAGTAAACTTATAGTACCACTCAGTGGAAGGAGTATACCAATAGTATTACTTCAGAACGAGTATGTATATTGTGTTCAATCAACATTTGTCATTATTCCCCTAACAAAAATAGCCTGATTCCCAGCTCAACAATCACATCAGCTTAGAATCAAATTCAATCACACTGCAGATATTCCCCAGCGCTAGAGTGAAATCAAATCCAAATCTACCTATGCCGGATGCCTCATACTCAAGATCTAGAAAATCTCAAACCAGAAGGCAGACAAAATCTTACGAGCTTGCCTTTGCTTCCTTTGCCGCCGCAGCCATACTAGACCCTTGAGCGGCGACCGCCTCTGCCTCGACCTCGAGGCGCTTCTTGTTTCGCTCGAGCGCCTCGCTGACCTCCTTGGGCATGTACTTCTCGTCGTGCTTGGCGAGCACCTCGGTGCCGTGCAAGAAGCACGCGCACTCCCGTGCCTTCTCGATGACCTTCCTCCTGTCGTCATGGTGGCGGAGGTCGTCGGTGAAGGGCTTGAGGAGGCCCTCAACGACGATGGAGTGGCCCTCGTGGAAGAGGTCGGGCAGCGCAGCCTCATAGCGGATGAGCACATCGGTGATGAGGTCCGTGACGACGAACTCGATCTCAGGGGAGGACGGCGAGGGGTGCGCAATGGAGCCCTCGAGGACCAGGCCGCTGAGGTGGATGCGGGACTTGGAGGGGTTGGCGGTGAACTTGGCGAGCGCGTCGGTGGGCGTGACGTAGACGATGACCTAGTCCTAGAACATGGCGAGCATGGTGACCACGAACCCGATGAAGGGTCGAGATGGCGGACTAGAGGGGGGGTGAATAGTCTTTTCTAAAATTAATCACGTCGGCTAACCGATATAAATGCGGAATTAAAACAATCGGTCTAGCCAAGACTACACCCCTCTATATATGTTCACTAGCACCTTGCAAAGATACTAAAAAAACAACTAAGGTGTTAAGGCTAGCTAGAGCTCTCCTAAACAATTCTAGGAGCAAGGTCACACAAACCTATGCCACTAGTACTTTAAGTAACAAGGGAGCTCCTACACATGCTAGTAAGCAAAAGCACAAAGCTAACTAAGCTCACTAGCAATGCTCAATAACAAGGCAACCAATGCCTAATTAGAGAGCGCAAATACTTAGCTACACAAACTAAGCAATATGACTAACAAGGTTACTAAAACTAAATTAGCCACGCAAGAGAGCTACTTCTATGCTACACAAGCAAGAAGGTAATTAGCTAGCTACACAAGCTATCTAATTACAAGAGCAACTACACAAGCTTAAGATATATATATATATAAGTAATTGTAAGCTTGTGTAATGGGGATGCAAACCAACGGGAAGAACAAGGTTGACACGATGATTTTTCTCCCGAGGTTCACGTGTTTGCCAACACGCTAGTCCCCGTTGTGTCGACCGCCACTTGGTGGTTCGGCGGCTAATTAGCATCACCCGCTAAGCCCGCAGACGTCGGGCACCGCAAGAACCTACCCTTTGAGTGAGGGTAGCTCAATGACACGCTTTACTAGAGTTGCTCTTCAACACAAGGCGAGCACAATGCCCTCACAAGCACTTCTCCGAGCGCCAACTAAGCTTCTTGCACGCTTCGACGGAGACCACCACCAAGCCGTCTAGGAGGTGGCAACCTCCAAGAGTAACAAGCACCACCGGCTTGCAACACGACCACCTAGTGCCACTCGATGCAACCTCACGATACAATCGCACTAGAATCGCTACTCACACAATCGAATGATCACCGCTAAGTATATGTGTGATGGAGGGCTCCCAAGCACTCACAAGCATGGACACTAAGTCCCTTGAGGTGCTCAAGACTCACCATGGCCGAGGGCCACTTCTATTTATAGCCCCAAGGGCTAAACTAGCCGTTACCCCTTCATCACTGGCAGCGGTCGGGCCGACCGGACGCTTTCCGGTCATGTGCTTGACCGGACGCTGAACCTCAGCGTCCGATCGCCCGATGAGACGGCCACGTGTCCCGGCTTCAACGGTCACTTGACTTGACCGGACGCAGTAGCTATCAAATCGACCGGACGCTGAACCCCAGCGTCCGATTGTTTCAAAGTAAGAGTATCGACCTCGACCGGATGCGTCCCGGTCACACTTGATCGGACGCAAATTCCGGTCACACTCCAGCTTTCTGCGTCATCGTCACGTCGGCTGACCGGACGCAGCCTACCAGCGTCCGGTGCATTCAGATCCAATCAAATTCCGGTCATTGATTGACCGACGCCAAAGATCTTCGCGACTAACTCGCTTTTCACTTCTAACTTCATCACCCTTGCTCCAATGTGCTAACCACAAGAACTTGCATCCGCGCAATAGAAAATAGGCATTCTATTTTCCCGCGTCGAATCCCGCCAGCGGGGAGGAGAGAGGGACCAAACCCATCTCACCCCTACAAACACCACCTCCTTTGTAAATGTGCCAACACCACCAAGTGTACACCACCATGTGTATGTGTGTTAGCATTTTCACAATCATTTCCCAAAGGATGTTAGCCACTCAACTTGCCACGCCACTCGATCCTAGCGACAATGCAAAGTTAGATCACTCGAGTGGCACTAGATGACCGATATGCAAACAAGTTTGCCCCTCTTGATAGTACGGCCATCTATCCTAAACCCGGTCATAAACTTCTCTACACACCTATGACCGGTGAAATGAAATGCCCTAGGTTATACCTTTGCCTTGCGCATTCCATTCCATCTCCTCCAATGTCGATGCAACACATGCACCAACACTATCAACAATGATATGATCCACTTCATATCATCACGTGATCATATTGGTTCATCGATCTTGACTTCACTTGCCCTTCACCGCTGCCATCGGAGTGGCCATCGGCGCCAAGTCTTGCTCAAGCTTCACCGCCACGCGGTCCATCACTCCAAAGCCTTCGACTTGCCCTTCACGCTTGCAACCGGTCCATCAAGCCAAGTCTTGTCTTGATCTTCTCCACCTTGATCACATGACTCAATGTCATGTCTCATGTGCAATAAGCTCCTTCATCATCACATGTGTGAGCTTTGCAACATCTCCAAGCCATTTTCACCTCCATGGCATATGTTGCTCATACACATGTACCTGTGGACTAATTACCTGTGTATCTCACATAAACACAATTAGTCCACCTAGGTTGTCACTCAATTACCAAAACCAACAAGGACCTTTCACCCGGCCGTGCAGGTGAAGGCAAGCCCGTAGGACCAGAGGAAGCGCGTCTGCAGCTGCCGCACGCGAGCGCCGATGTCCGCGACGCGTGGACGGGTGGAGGGCCCCGACCGCCGCGTGGTAGAGGCGAAGCTGCAGAGGAAGGGGCCAAGCAGGGTGGCGGCGGCCACCATGGTCATGCATGGGGTGGGGATGGGTCCCGGTGTGTGGAGGAGGGTGGAGAGGGTGCCGGTTAAAACATCACCTCGGTGCCAAGATCTTTGGCGCCAAGCTCGGCACCAATAACCACGGCGCCAAACTTGGTGCCAAGATCCATGGCACCGAGTTGGCTGCCATGTCAGCGTCCACACCGCCAATGTGGCCCTGACCTAGGTGCCAAACCCTCTAGCGCCGAGATGTGTAACCTCGGCGCCACCAACGATGGCGCCGCGCTAAGGGTCTAGATTTTGAAAGCATACCTCCAGGTGCATATTTGTGAATAACTTTAAAAAAAGGGCCAAAAATAAAAAAAATTGGCGGCCATGGACAGTCCACGTCGGATCTGGTCACTATTGCGCTGTCGCCCTCCACGCGTCCACGCAGTAGCGCCAGCTCGGACGCGCCGCCCCAGGCCCAGCGCGTAGGCTTGTGTCCACGTGTTCCTCCGAGAGCTAGCTAGTGGGTGGCGGTACCAGGGGCCCACAACATCCGCATGCACCGAGCAATATATATGGCCATGCAGCCCAAGCCCATCGGCCCAGCCCAAGGCCCATTTTTTGGCTCGACCCAAGCCCGGCCTGGCCCGACGGTGAGCGGAACCGGGCTGGCATGGCCTAGAGGAGCAGGCCATGCCTGGGCCTTACCCTAGGCACGTGGGCCAGCATGGCACGGCCTGTTCCTCAACCGTAGGCCCACTGGCTGCCCAGCCTACCATCGATCGGCCCCCTCCCTGCGCCCCCGCATATATAAGCGGGGAGCGTCGGCTGAGCCGCTCCCCGCTCGCCCGCTTTGTAGTCCGGTCCTAACCCTAACCCTAATCCCCACTTAGTCTCTCTCGAGTCTCGCTCGCCGCGGTGCAATCTCTGCTCTCTCTCTCTCACCCGCATCCACGATCTGGCGAATCTAAGCTCTCTCTTGTCCATCGTCCTCGACTCCAGTGACCTCGATCTGCCTGTCTGACCCTATCTCCACTCTCCTCCCTTCTCCCTCTCTCCTCTCGACCTCTTGCTCACGGTGAACTATGTGAGTTCGTGACCATGTTCCCTCCGTCCCTCCTCCGCCGTTCGCTGTCGTTTCTAATCAGTGTCTCTCCTCTAGGTGGCCCTCGTCATCTCCGACATCGGGCTCCTGTTGCATAGGTAGTCCATGAACCCCAACCCTAACCCTAACCCTAGATCTGTCTTCTTGTGTCTCCGAGACTGAGTGACTAACCCTGGATCTAGATCTCTATCTCTGTGTTTTTCTCCTCCGCGCAGGTCGGTTGCCGATGCCTCGTCCTCTTCCTGTGGCATAGACCGAGCACGGCGGCCGCGCGCACCATTGAGGAATGATGCTGGAGATCAGCCGTCCACGGTCAAGGTTGCCATGGCGGATGACGACGATGTCATCTATCCACTCATCGACAACGATGACCTAATCGCGGCAGGGCTGGTCCCCAAGGACGATGCTGTTGTGTTGTTGGGTATCGATGTTGGTAGTGGCTCTGCTCTGATCGACCTGGATGGCGGCGATGGTGGTGGAGGGGTTGCGCCGGAGCCGTCGGTGACGGCGACAGGGACAGCCGGTCGGCTCCAACAGCACAGATGGTATCTCATCTCTTGGTAAGTGTAAATCTGGTGTCTGGGTTGATTTTGATGAGATCTATGAGATTGTGAATGGTTCAAAGATTTAAACTGCTGCTATCTGTAAAATGTGTAAGAGTAAATTGTCTGCTAAATCTGCTACTGGCATTGGCCATTTGATTAGGCACCATAAATCTTATAGGAAAAAGGCTGATCATGCTGCTAGGGTTCAGTCTAGGCTTTCTTTAAATCCTGATGGATCTATGCATAACTGGGACTACAATCCTGCTGTTGCTCGATCTGAGTTGTGTTGGTTGATTGCTAGGCTTGACCTTCCATTAGGTATAGGTGAGACATATGCTTGGGAGGATTACATTGTTCTTGCTCATAACCCTAGGTTTGCTAAGGTTTCTAGATAGACCATCACTAGAGATCTTGGTAAGTTGTTTACTGAACGCCATGATATGCTTAAGAATTTTATGTTGCCTGCTTTGCTTCTTCTGTTGCTTTAACTTTAGACATTTGGTCTAGTAATGCTAAGGACTATATTAGTGTTGTTGCTCACTATGTGAATGCTGATTGGGAGTTACAGAAAAGGGTTATTGGTCTTAGGCTGATTGAGGTTAAACATTCTGATGAAAATATTGCTGAAATGAAAGAATTGCTGTAGTGGTTGAGGAGTATTGTCTGATTGACAACATTTTCTCTATCACTCTAGACAATGCTTCTTCTAATGCTAAGGCTATGAACACTTTGACACCTCTATTTGCTGGTTACTTGGGTCCTAATCCTTTGGATCCTAGTAACCGTAAGTACAGTCTTATACATCAACGTTGTGCTTGTCATATCATTAATCTCATTGTAAAATCTGGATTAAAGAGGTTGAAACCTTACACAGAAGATTTTAGAACTGCAATTAACTTCTTAAATTTCTCTAATCATAGAATTGCATTGTTCAAGGAATACTGTAATGCTAAGGGTGTTAGACCATGAAAGTTTAGGCTTGGATAGGGATGTTAGATGAAATTCTACTTACCTGATGCTTAAACACTTGCTTCCATATAAGAATGTCTTTTCTGTGTTCATTAATTCCCATTATGGTTCATAATTTTTTACTACAAATCATTGGTATGTTGCTGAGAAGTTATTGGGGTTCCTAGAACTCTTCTATAACTCCACTATTGTTCTGCCTGGTGTTTATTATCCTACAAGTCAACTTGTTCTACACCATATCCTAGAGATTGCTTTTCATTTGCATGCATGTGAAAAAGATCAAAATATGAGAGCTATTGTATATCCTATAAAGCTTAAATTCCTTAAATATTGGTAGGACATACCTCTGTTATATTCATTTGCATTCATTCTTGATCTTAGAGCTAAGATGAGAGATTTTTTTAATGTGCTATAATTACTTGGTGAATACACTGGTTCTCAGTACAGTTCATACTATGCTGATGTTAAAACTAAATTGTATAAACTGTTTAACAAATATGAGAGCAAGTTTGATGCAGCTAGGTCTCAAAGGGTTGCACAACCATCAAATCATACAGGTAAGAAAAAGCAGGTATGGGAAAGAATCTTTGGCCGTGGATCAGGTGTTGTTGGTCCTTTCCCTCTCCCTGCCATTTCATCTTCATCTACTTCTGCTGTTTGTGAGCTCTCAGCTTACTTAGACAGTGACAGTGTCACTTCTTATGAGAATGATTTTGACCTACTTCTGTGGTGGCATGACCATAAGCTAACCTTTCCAATCCTGTCTATAATGGCTAGAGATATCATATCAGTTCCTGTATCTACTGTCCTTTCAAAGTCTTATTTCAGTTTGACAGGCAGGATAATTGAGGAATGGCGACGGCGCTTGTCACCAAAGACTGTGGAGATGCTCACCTGCATAAAGGACTGGGAGTTATGAGAAAAAAGGGAACAACATACTATTGACAACCAATAGCTAGAAGACTCATTCAATAACTTGTACTAGATGAAGATGAAGCCACTGGTGGTGCTCCTGGTACTTAGTGAGGTTGAAACTTGACTCTTGAGAGTGTGAGTGTGATATGTGACTGTGAAAGAGTGAGTGTATCTGAAACTTGTCTATCATTTGAATAATGGTTTGTAAGACTTAATTAAGAGCTAGCTGCACTCTTTTTTTTCTTTCTAGGGTTTCTTACAAGGGTGAGTTTTATCTAGAAAGGTTTTTAATGAGGCAGCATTGCACTAAACAGCTCGTTTTGATTATTTTTGTTATCCGTTGGCTTTAGAGTTTGATATCTCTGTTGGACTGTGAATGTATTGGATATTTGGACTTTGATTCTGTATCTGTATGATTCTATGAATAAAATGAAAGTATGAAACCGTGAATGTATTGGACATTTGGACATTGATTATGTTTGATTATGTGAATGTAAGGGTAACGGGCCGTGGGCTGGCATGGCCCGTAATTCTATTCGTGCTTAGCCGGCCGGCAAGGAATGAAAAACGGCCCATAGTGCCGTGCCTGGGTCAAAGGCCAGGCCCGTGGCCCTAAGAGGCACGGCCCGGAAGACCCGGCGTGTCGTGCCGGCTCGACCCCCATCGGGCCATGCTTTCACGGGCCCGTGCCATGCCGTGCCAAGCCGGTCCGTTGGCCATCTATACCAAGCAATTGCGCGCTTGTTCCTGTCTGGTGTGTGTCGTGTCCTTCCTGGACTCAGCTCAACTACTCTTGCTATCGTGTTGTGCAAGTGTAGTAGTATTCTCTTTCCGTGACTCATCTCCACGCTCAAATGTTTAATTCACGCAAGGAATACGAGTCTTGTAATAATGATTTAAAGCTACAACTTGGGTTCACTCTCAGTACAATTTAATTCTTTCTTCGCAAGCATGCGATCCATGCACCCAATTAAAAAACACGATGTGCTATTTATGGGTGTTTGATCCGGTGACTAAAATTTAGAAGGTGTCACATAAAAAAACAAATTACAGAATCCGTTAGTAATTCGCGAGACAGATTTACTAAGCCTAATTAACCTATCATTAGCATATGTTTACTGTAGTACCAAATTGTCAAATCATGGACTAATTAGGCTTAAAATTCGTCTCACAAAACAGTCTCAATCTGTGCATTTAGTTTCATAATTAGTCTATATTTAATACTCCATACATGTGTCCAAACATCCGATGGGACAACGACTAAAGTTCAGGAGGTGCCTCTCGGGTAGGTCTGCCGGAGACAATAAGGGAAGATGACCCATCCTTTTTCCCACAATTTTTCTATCTAGTTGCTTCGGGTTTAGTCCAATAAATCTTTCGGCGAAATCAGATGAGTTACTATTGGGAACGTGTTTCCTGCGATGACTTTAGTGATTGCCATAACGAGATCGCCATTGTAGACGTCGATTTCATCGGCAGGCGACCAATTTGTGGCCTTTATCTACAAGGGGAGAGGTGTTTCTAGGAGCCCCTACGATGACAGTGACTCTAGGTCATCGATCTCATCATCGATGATCGTAGAGAGGAATTCAAGGTCTCCAAGTGATGATTTTGCAGCCTATGTGGTACCCGACGATGCAACCGCCGATATTCTTTCAGCGATTTAAATGTGTTTTGGACCGGTTCCGAAGCGTTGGATCTTATGGCATGTCCAATGTCTTAGGGTTGGTTGTTGGATTCGACATAAGGATTGCACTTTGGCTCCGACGTTCGAAGAAAGCTATTAGGGAAGAAGACGATGGAAGAATCTGGATATAATATTATATATTTTTTATTTCAGTTTTTTTTTTCATATGTAATTTGGGGATGTATTATGCCAAGATTTAATATAAGTCCCCTTTCTCTTCATAAAAAAAGATACATTATTTTTAAATATATAGTAAAAATAATATATCTAGAAAAGCAAAAAATTTTATAATTTGGAAACAAAGGGAACCATGATTGTTTCTTTCAAAGGCATTTATTACAAGAAATAGTAGCTATCATTAATAATATTTTCACTCTCTACTTTCTTTCAAAGGCAATTGTTATATCATATTGTTTATTAGGGGTATAAATGATCATTCACTCGTTTTTTCTTCAATACTTCTTTTGTCATACCAGTAGTGTCGGGTTCATAAACCCGAGGTCCCCCATGGACCAGCTTTCCAGCAAAGGCTCGGCCCAGCAGACGATGTTGCAAATAATGCGCAAAACTCCTGGGCCAGCCCAAATATCAAGCGATAGGCCAAGGGGCAATCCAATCTCCGACCGAAAGGCCTGGCCGAGGAGGAACGACGTCCGCTTCTGACTCCGACCCGCCTTTCCGACCGGAAGGCCTAGTCAACGCCGCTTCCAAATCCGACCCACGTCTCTAACCAGGGATGCACCGAACCTCTGCTTATGGCTCTTCTCAGACTAGCGCAGTCGGAGCCGACTAGAGACCAACCATCCGGGGATGCCCGCTCGATAAGGACTAGGGCAATGGGCGGAGCAAGTAAGACAAGACGCTCAAGTCAACTGCAACACCGAGGACCGTACCCTATGCACCTGCGAGACAATACCAACATGGCATGTCAGAAGGGTGCCCTGCAACCTTCTAGGCATGTCAGAACCCAAGCAATGTTGTGGGCGCCGAAGTTTTTACCCTACAGTGTTATGGGCGCTATTAGTTCCCATACCAGGCAAACATGGTAAGGCCCCCATGTGCATCTGGGCATCCATAGTGTTGTGGGCACCGGCATTTACCATACCTGGTAGGACACGGTAAAACCTCCAACATGCGTCTGACATCAACAATATTGTGGGCACCTACAATCACCTTTTACCCGACGATGTGAGCAACAAGACTTAGTAGCTTACGTACTCTCTCTCTTTTGTAAGGCCGTCCCCTTCATCTATAAAAGGAGACGTGCTCTCTCCGAATAGGAGGATCAGTTCACTTACATCGATTCAACAGACAACAGACAGAACCACCAGGTTCAAACCTCGAGCACACGCTCAAACACTTAGCACATAGCGGAGCTCCCGTCACTCTCGGCCCTTCAGATCAAAGTCCGACCGAACTTCTTGTACCCCATCTTTCTCCCTTCCGTTTGTAACCCCACAGCACCACATGCGTCTGACATCAACAGTATTGTGGGCGCCTACAATCATCTTGTACCCGACGACGTGAGCAACAAGACTTAGTAACTTACGTACACACTCTCTCTCTCTTGTAAGGCCATCCCCTTTATCTATAAAAGGTGACGTGCTCTCTCTGAATAGGAGGATCAGTTCACTTACATCGATTCAATAGACAACAGACAAAACCACTAGGTTCAAACCTCACGAGCACACGCTCGAACACTTAGCACATAGCGGAGCTCCCATCACTCTCGGCCCTTCAGGCCAGAGTCCGATCGGACTTCTTATACCCCCATCTTTCTCCCTTTCGTTTGTAACCCCATAGCAAACTTCGAGCACCTGGGCTCAAGAATAAAATCACCGACCGACTCAAACTGGACGTAGGGCACGTTGCCTGAACCAGTATAAACCCTGTGTCATTGAGTGCTAGGACACATCCGATCACAATGTACGGCAAAACTACAAATATTTACGTGTTGGTCACTTTCTGTACCGACAAGTAGTGTACCGTGGACGAAGATTGAAGGATCGAGAAAGTATTTCTTAGGTAATCAGATATGTGGTCTGCAATTTAAATACAAGAAAACATAATAATATATGAAAATATATCTTCCAAAACAAATCACTCCAAAGAAAAGGAACCATCTAAAAAATTGTAACAAAATTTTTCTTTACTATCACTATGTCACTACCACAAAAACTGTTTTTAGAGACACTAGAGTTTCTAGAGAGGCGTTTCAAAGACAAACCTTAAAAAAAAGTTTTTTTAGCTAACGTCCACATCCCTGTAGAAGAAATTGAATATTAGAGCCCGATCTTTTAACAAACTAGCTCCGAAAATAGGTCTACTTCTAGAGGTGGGTCTTTTTAGAGGATTGTCTCTGAAAGCTATTATTTTCAGAGGATGTTTTTAAAATTTAGAAAATCAATTTATAGAAGTGGACTACATAAAGCAAATACCTATGAAAATTGATTTTCAAAGGCAATCGACTTAGGTTGTCCCTTTCGAAAATTATCTCTAGGGGCGGGAGAGCTAACAAACGGTTGACCCGTGTATCTTTGTAAATGGTTTTGATCTGTCTCTAAAAACAAATCCATAGTAGTGTATCAACTTCCAAATATTTACCATTTAAAATATGGACACTTGATCTTGATTAGTTTTTTTTACGTTACTATGATATTTTCAAAATAAAGATGATCAAATATATGTGCACACACGCTCATCCCCTAGGAATGCACATGCAAACATAATTTATACTTGTAAGCATCTTTGAGAGATTGAGCCATCTTGATGACATACTCTATATGATTTTTATTAAAGGTGCATGAACTCGGATGACAAGTTTAACATCTGCTCAAGATTTTTACTCGAGTGGTTTCATATATTGCTGATCACTTACAAGAATCCTAAAACGATGAATGATTTAAATTGGAAGGAGTATATGTCATGACATACAGGTTTAGGAGTCCATGTAGCATCTTATCAACTCTAGAATGGCAAAAGTAGTGTTATTTGGCAGAACTTTGGTGCGCACGCGCTCTTCTCTCAATTTTTTTTTGAATATAAGTTTGGCACTTTTGGCTTGATAATAACTTCTGAATAAGTTTCTACTTGTATAAGCGCAAAAAGTGACTTAGTTTTTTTTTTCGCAAGGCATGAGGTAATCTACTATTTTGAGAGGAAACCGTGAGTTAATTGCATTCCACGGAATCATATAAGAAAGGCTGCATCTAAAGACAGCCCCACCCTACCGAACGCCCATTGTAATACCCTTTGGTCCTGTTTGCTTGGTCTTATAATCCGTACTTTTTAGCTTGTTTTTTCAGTCGGAATAGTGTTTTTCTCTCACAACAAAATCAGTCGGAACAGTGTTTGACTTGCTTTTTTCACAAAGCGTACGGGGTGCATCCTGTGGGCTGTTTCACCTTTCGTGGACACGGCACCACTCCAAAAGTTGCTTATTGTAACATTGCTTCTAGAACTGGGAGTTTCATTACTGAGAAAAATTAGGAGCTGCTAATTTAATTAAGGTTCGTGGTTTATAAAATGTCCTTTAATTAAACAGAAATTTAAGCACATTTTAGTCTCCACCATCGATGAATGAATGAGTATAGCTCTTGATACAACCCAGAGTACAAAATGGTGACACACTGACACGGCATAATTTCATTCGATCTCTACGGTCTGCCTGGTGTGCGTGCCCTGGGCCGCCCCTGACGTCATGGTATGTAGCGCCTAGACAGCTAGCCTTAGGGCACGTTTAGTTCCCAAATTTTTTTGGTTTGGCTATTGTTTGTCAACTGTAGCACTTTTGTTTGTATTTAGTAATTAGTGTCTAATTATGGACTAATTAGGTTCGAAAGTTTCGTCTCGCGATTTCTCACCAACTGTGTAATTATTTTTTTTTTCGTCTACATTTAGTAGACCATGCATGTGCCGTAAAATTCGATATGACACTTTTAGTGTGAAATTTTTTGGAATCTAAACAGGACGTTATTACCTTGGTCCATAAGGTGGGGATCTGTTTCGATTTCTTGCTTGCTTGTGGAGCGAGGGAAGGTCCGTCCATACCAATTCCAGAGTCTCCAACACTGCAAACTTCACGTAGGGAGGAGTACGCACAGATGCATGCAATATTCAAATGCACGCCCCTTGGAAGATATTCCATAATTAATTAATGGGCCGGGGCTGGGCCGTCAAAGTCACAGTTTCTAGGTCACTACCCCCAGATCACCATCGGTCATACATACAGTAATGTAGTACGAGTAGTAGCACCTTCATGCACGCTAACCTACCTTCTACTACTCGTTCTTTTTGCTTAGTTTTATTTTATTTTATTCATGCACGAATATGCATACAAGTCCGGTGGACCTGTGCCGCGAACTATTCAATTGCATGCATGTGACGCTACTGTACTGATTCTTTCCACTGCAGGATGCTAGTATATTTTTTTCGTTTTCTTGTTCTTTTGTTTTTGCTCTGCAGCTTTGGGAGAAGGAAGAAGTCCAAGTCTCCCGTCTACCTGACTTTGTTCTTGACAAAAAGGTTGCCGCTGCTGCATCTGCAGGCATGACTGACTCTGTACACAGTGTCGGGGACCCAGTGCCCCGCATCTGCCTCGCAACTTCCTGCTGCGTCCGCTGTCACTTGGAAATTTCACAGGAGTAAAATTTTACTTCAAAAAAACGCTGGAAACAAAAAAAAATGTGTTCTTCAAAATTAGTAAGGTTGAGTTTTTTTCGACATTTTTTTAAAAAAAATAAAATTTTCAACTAATTATGATGGTCCTCTATCCATCCTCTCAATTCATCGTATTAATGCGAAAGGGATTGTAGCCTATTGGTTATAAGAGCCTCAATAGCACATCAGGTCCTGTTTGTTTTCCCAAAAATAATAAAAATGTTTTCCCAAAAATCGAGCTCTCCGCTTGTTTCGCTGAAATTTAGCTTACGCTGATGTTTATATTGATTTGTTGTGAGAGAAAAATACTGTTCGCCGCTGAAAAGTATGGCTACATAATAGGGCGAGGATACAGAAGTTAAGTAGGCCACGCTGTACACGTTCGTGCGTGTGTGAAAGGGGTGAACTTTGGCGCTGGCCAGACAAGAAGACGGTCGATCTTCGTCCAACTCCACACGCTAGAGAGAGGACAGTAAGCCCGTTTTAAGCGTGACTTCTCCAGTTTGAGGAGTCGTTGGAGCCGTTTACGCCAAACGGGTAAAATGAAACGGCTCCACACGAAGAAGCCCTAGAAAGTGCTCTCTCACGGAGCTTTGGGGTGGGAAGGAGCCAAAAATAGTGGCTTCTCCCTAAAAATATGCTCTCACGAAGCC